AAACAGGTTAGAAACCTGATGACTTGCACAGAATTGGATTAGAAACGACAGGGAGGGGACTTGAGAAGAAGCTGGGCATGTCAAGTAGGGAGGAATGACCTATGGAGAAAACCGGCACTAAAATACCCAAATCCTCTACATACATGTGATCGTCGTAGCGGTGGGCCTTAACTTGCTATGAGTGGTGCCCTTTGGAGGGGTTTGCAGGTAAGATACTATGAGTGAGGTGGAGCAGCCAAAAAAAAGTCTGCACGGCAGCTCTGCGCATGCCCACGCAGGAGCTTCGCGCACGCGCGCCAGGAAGCTCTGGGCAGGAAGAGGCGCATGGTGGCCCGAGTCAGAGGCCCAGCTAGGCCCAGCTGGGCCCAGCAGGGGGCGTCGCCCGGCCAGCACCTCAGGGGCTCCTGGAGCTGGGCACGGGCCCCATGGTAGCGGCTGTCCAGTGAGGCCTTGTGCCAGTGGTCGCCTGGACGGCGGAGCCGGGAGAGAGAGCGGCGTCCTGATGAGGTGCGTGAGTGTGGCCGCTGTGGCGTCCTCGGCCGCTATGGCCGCCACGGCTGGGGTCTTGAATGTCGCCTGTCCAGTGCCGTGCGGGGCACGTGGGCAGCCTAGGGGGGTCTCCCGCCGTGTCTTTGCCATGGCCGCGGGTGGCACCCAGGCGACAGTCCAGCTGCCCATGGTGGACCGCGGCCTGGTGTTCGGGAGACGAGCTGCCCGTTTTCAGGGGCGGGAAGACGCCGTCATAAGGGTCTTTGTGCAGGACTGGATAGTCCTGGGCACGACTCGGGTAAATGGCCATTATTGGCCTCAGGAACTCTTCTTTTCCTGCCGTTGTCAGACAAACCCCTGTGTTGCTGTTTCCTGAGCCTGAGCAGACTTGCAGTTGTGCGGGTGGGTGAAAAGCCCGGACAGTGAGGGTGAAGTATTGGGCCAGCGGCCTCCCTCCTACCCTGGGGGTAAGTGGCGTTCCTGTCAGAAGCCAGGTGGCCTTTGGAAACTTGTGTTTCTGTAAGCTTGGAGAAAGTGGAAGGATGCCCTTGACCGGTAACATTTACCCTCTAATCCCAGTAGCTAGATGTTTGGAAGGTCGCCCCAACCGCTGAAGCCTGTTTTTAAAATTGGAAGAATAGAGGCCTCCCTGGTGCTACAGGGGTTAAAGTGCAGCACTAGGAAGCCAGCCACAGCCACTGCAGCAGGAGTTCCATCCCCAGCCAGGGAGCTGACCCACAAGGTGCAGAGAGACCTCTCCTGTCTCCCCGCTGCTCCTCTCAGCAGTGTGTTTCAATCAATCTGCCTGTTCTGCAATCCCATTCTGGTAAATCCTCACACTGCCCACACCTCTGACCTACACCCCAGTTCTTGTATG